TCAGCGGAGATAGGGTTCTCCGTACCAGGGTGTGGAGGGAGATTTTGATAATTCTAAGTTAAAATGGAGTATTTTATGGCTTCCTTGGGCCAAAATTACTATCAGACAGGTCACAATTGAAGACTGTGGCCACATGTGATGATCTCTGGTCAATCAGAATTTTATGGTTGCCAGAGGAGCTACTCCCCAGGGTAAGGGGGCACATGTCCATGGCATGAGGGCGCTGCACCCCTGTTCCCTTGTTTAAAAAAAAAACTGATTCAAGTGACGCTAACCCTTGGCATCAAATGTACTATACCTACACTTCCTGACTCAACAAAAGATTTGTACTCACCATTTCCCATCATAGAGGTAACGCTCATTCTTTTAGAGGCAGTGGCCGAAGGTAGGCCAGCCCGTGATACCCCAGTTCTTCTCATTTTAGATCATCAGAATAAATACAGTAGTAGAAGAGAGTTCTGCTGATAAACATCAATAAAAATCATGTCATTATAAATATCCAGAGCTATGCAGTGTTGTAATAGAGGGAGCCTGAATGTCTGATACTCCTGAAATTGTTCCCAGACTCCTCGTTTTACGCGGAGTTTGCTTGGTTCCCAAATCCTGAACGGCAATCTTCATATTTTGATGTTCTTCCTAGTAATTTTTTCAAAGTAACAGAGCTAATATGTGTTTCTTCAAAGTGAGTTTTAACTATAAGAATAAAGCATATGTCAGCTCATTTCTTGTTTCTTTAATGTTCTCCCAACCCTTGTACTTAGGAGACGATCTGGCTCCCGAACTTCATACTAAATTTTTATGTAAGTGCAACACACACCCAGCCCAATCTGTGTAGATGTTTCATTCATTTTGAAGTGTTCATCATGCATTCTTTTTTTGAATATTTTTTATTCTCGAAATAGTTATGTGTTCCAAATATAGAATTTATAATCAATTTTAATAATATAAACAAAACATGAATTCCAGTTTGTTTTTACTAGCACCAGTCAACTAATTTCTATTCTACTATTTTTAGCTTCCTCCATATCTTTGTAAATAATTTTCTATTCTAATTTACGTAAGATTGAATTTATTGGAAATATAGAATTGAACATAAACAGTTTACTTACATCAAGGTCATTATACCTATGTTGAATATTCAAAATAATGAATCAACATGTCTTGCAGGGATTGAAATAGATTTTTTTCCCTGCATGCACAGTGTGCATGTTGAATTTGAAATTTACCTGCACTAACTTGTTGTGAAATGCACCACTTTCAAAGTTTGAATAAAATTTACGGGTTCTAGATTGATGCGACCACGAAAGAATTTGCTTTTTTTTTAGTTGTCTCACAATGTTGGTTGAACTTAATTTTGGCTTAGTGAATATAATGAGAAAATGTTGTGTTAATTTCTACATGCACAGCGTGCACATTATATTTTCAGTTTACTTGCACTAGCTAATAATCTATGTGCATAGTGCAGTGTGCACCAGAGTATTTCGACCCCTGTCTTGGCTCAGTAATTGTTCAGCATTAGGTTAGAAGCCTACCGGTACTCATAATTTTTGAGACAATTAGTCACATGACAATGTTCATTGGTTTACTATGTACAGTCATGGAGCTATTGTTCCATGGTACAGTGAAACAGCTTCCCTTTGTATGTTACATTAACATTTTTTGAAAAACTAATATTTCTAAAAAAAAATAACTATTTTGGGGGGAAAATTCCATAGAAACTATGTTTATAAAAAATTGCATTTTTCAACACTTTTTAAAACACAGATTTTTTAAATAGTTCAGGATAACAAAAAGTACACTTTCAGTTCATCCTATTTCACCAGCTTACAATTTGAAATGTGAAATAATATCTCTGCCATAGAAACCTATGGTAAAAACATTATAATACTGCCAAAATGGCAACTATGCACAAACACAAAATCATCATTTTCTCAAAAAATTAACTGGTGACTCCCAACTCTGTTTAAATCAACATCCTTACATTCATTTTTTTTTTGCCTTGAAGTACAATTTATTGTAAAATGAATAAACTGTTGGTATTTTTCATTTCTCACCTACCTTCTATTGGAATACTGTAAAATGACTAATTTTCACTGGGTTTAAATTTTGCTGATTTACCATTTCAGGCATATTCAGTGGGTTTTAAATTCACGGTTTTATCATTTAGATAATGTGTTCTATGCTAAATTTTACATATTCACTGGGTTTTAATTTAGCGCATTTTCCAGTCAGCGAAATAAGCAAAATTGAAACCCGGTGAATAATTAACCCCTTTTAGTAGTGAAACGTATATTGGTAGACAATATCGATTTGAAAAATGAAAAACAAAATGTCCTTACTGGGTATGTGAGTATCGAAAACACCTTAATATTTGGGGGTGCTATATAGTCTAGAAAACATCATAAACTCAATTTTGAAGTAATCTTGAACAACCAAATTTATATATGTTGCACATGTTGGGGTCTTCTTGTACCTGGTAATACTGTTCATGAGATTCTCAACCACTGGCACAAACTGCTTTTTTTTTTTTTTTTAAGAGTTTTCGACAGTTGTTTTCAAGATGGTGTGATGGTAGTCAGGTGGTAAAAATGCCCGGATGTTCATTTCTGCGAATACCGGTACTGAGTTTGTATTGACAGTATTGAAAACTGATCAATGATGTTGTGTCGACATATGAAATCATACATTATCAAGGTTTATGGTGGGATCATCAGTCTAACCTTTTTTCTAATATATTTTTCAATATTTGTGGAAATGAACCCTAATTTTGTAGCCAACAGATACAATTTGAGTTAATTTTCGGTTTTTAGTCAAAAAATTTGGCAATTTTTGTCCCAATCTTCTAAAGGAAAGTGCAGAGACTATAAACGGGTCTATTTTGTGAATTTGTGATGAAAAGAGGAAACTGGCAGTGAAACGGCTAACAAAATAAATTATACATGTCACCTTTATTTGGATTGGTTTCAATCTTTCACTTTCGAGAGTTTGAGTCAATATTCCATCTACTGAGCATGTTACTGGGCATGTAACAATATATTATAAGAGAAAAATTAAAATTTACATCTGCATCAGGGAGC